GGGGGGGGCGGGAATGGAAATGGGAGGGAAAGAAAGGATAAGCCCCTACACCAGTGGTTCCCAAACTGTGGGGTGAGACCCCCCCCAGGGTGTGTGTGCAAGAGTTGTGGGGTGGGGAGTGGATAGAAGGTTGGAATGTAGGATACGTCCTGGAAAAGGAGGATGCCTGGTCACTCTGGTCAGGAGGGTCCCAGGGGGCAGGGGCACTGGACTGGTTCAATCAGCAGCAGCAACAGTAAGAGCTGTCTTGGCCTCCACTTTCCCCACTGCCAAGTTTCTTGGCTTGGAATTGGCACTCACCAGCTGACTAACCTTGGTGCTGCTGCTCTCTCTGTTGGGCAGAGGATAATATTAAACCCTCAAACATTCACAAAGCACATGGAACTCCTCTGTCCCAAGCCTTCAACCTCCATGAATTGACCTAGAGGAGTGGTTTTCACTCCTGCGACTGCCTTTGTATCTACATGAAGGATGACCAGACACATCCTCCTTTCCCAGGAAACATCCTCCATTTCAACCTTCTGTCCAGGAGGAATTCCAAAAGGTCCTCCATTTTGAGCCTGACTAAGAAGCATGAATGTACATTTATACGAGTGTCTTCAGTTATTATTTGGTCATGCCCAACATTTTTTTTGAACACCCTACATTCTGCGGTGCCTTGCCCTCCTTTGCGGTTAGGACATTGGGGTCACCCTGTCTACGTGTGGATGTTGTGCACCCTTCCCTTGAGGTAGTATATTAATTAAAATATTTTGTGTGTTTAGTCTGCATATTTTCACCTGGACATTCATATATATTCATATTGTAACATTTTATAAGAGAATAAGTGTTCAGATTTGTTGTTAGCTGTCCTCGAGTCGTCCTGATTTATGGTGACCCTGTGGATGAGACATTTCCAAGGAAATCCCTCACCCCCCACCTTCACTGCTCTGCTTCAGTCTTGTAGATTCGGCCTGTGACCTTCCTAATTGAGTCTAACCATCTGGTATGTGGTCTTCCTCTCTTTCTACTGCCTTCTGCCTTTCCTGGCGTATTGTCTTTTCCAATGAATCGTGCCTTCTCATGATGTGGCCAAAGTACAACAGCCTCAATTTAGTCATCTTGGCTTCCAGGGAGAGTTCTGGCTTGATCTGTTTAAGGACCCATATGAAAATTTTATTTAAATAAGTTCAATACCTAACTCAACACATGTATAAATGTTACACATACTGTTTCTCACATAGAGAGATCTTGTAGCACCTTTGAGACTAACTGAAAGAAATTGGCAGCATGAGCTTTCGTAGACTTCAGTCTACTTCCTCAGATGCATAGCCACACTTACATGCATCAGTGCTCACAGATATTGTACACACTCAGTGATGCTCTTTCATTCTTTCTTTTACACTGTGATCCCCAAACACTGGTCCGCCAGATGTTTTGAACGTCAGTTCCCAGAAGTCCCAGCCAGCTTGGCCAGCAATCAGGAATTCTGGGAGCTGCAGTCCAAAATATCTGGAGGGCCAAAATTTGGGATCCGCTGTTTTACACACTAATTTACTCTCTTGCACACAAAGTTGCACAGAAACAGTCATCCCCTTGCCTTGTGTAGATGTGCATATGCACAAGTGCATATGTGAGTGTGTAAAAAAGATCAAAAGTGTGACTCAAATGAAGGAGAAGAAAGGATCGGCCTCCAACATTGCCTACGTAGACTATGAGCCAGCATAGTGTAGTGGTTTGAGCACTGGAGAACAGGGTTCAAATCCTCCCTCAGCCATGAAAACCCACTGGGTGACCCTGGGCAAGTCACACTCTCTCAGCCTCAGAGGATGGCAAGGGCAAACCAGCCCCTCTGAGAAAACCTGCCAAGAAAATCCATGATAGCTTCACCTTACGGTGGCCATAGGTTGGAAACAAGTTGAAGGCACATAACAGAAGATTGCAACCTTAAAGTACATTAGCCCCTCCATATTTGTGGCTTTGACTTTTGTGGATTTGATTATTCAGAGATCTTATTTATATGTTCTCTCTAGGAATATCTAGGTCCTCCAGCACAACTTTATAGTCAACTTTAACCAAAAGTTGTATTGAAGGACTTAGAGATTCCTCGAGAGAAGACTCCACTAGGCATTTGTAGCTCCTCCAGCGCAAACCTATGGTCAATGTCTGGCAGATGTTGACCACAGAGTTGCACTGGAGGACCTAGAGATTTCTAGAGAGGTGTTCTCTCAAGTAAAAACATTGTGTTTTTGGTATAAATACTCCATAACAATAACAATAACTTATTTGTGGTTCTCCCACATTCACAGGGGTCCTGTGCCCGTAAACCCCAGCAAATGTGGAGGGACGAATCTAATTAGAAAATGCAAAGAGCAGTGGTAAGTAGTGGAGAGGACAACTTTTTTCCAACTAGTGCTGAGGAAATCAAACTGAGAGGGAAGAGGTGCGAAAGAGACAGGGTGACCTGCTGTCCTCTTCCCCCCCCCAGGACGTGTCCTCCACTTCAACCTTCCCTCTTTTGGAGGGAATCCCCAAAGGTCCTTCCTTTTGAGCAGCATGCCTTTACACCACTCAGGGGGGTTGCAGACTGCCAGAAATAGTGCAAATTGAGTCC